GCAAGGGTCCAAAGTTGAGATCCTGGAGAAAGCGAGTGCGGCAGAGCAGCGGAATTGGATCCCTGTATACCAAGAGCAGGGAGTATACAATTTCTACTTGAGAAAGCCAGGGTATAAGCCGACCAAGGAATGCTGTGGCATCGCAGAGTTGAACGCCACAGGCGAGAGAGGAGATGCTTCTATGGATTCAGGCCGACCTGATCCAGAGGGGCACGAAGAAGATGATGAATGGGAAATGGTTGATGAGGTTGAGAAACCCATCCAGATGAGCACCGGAGGATCCAACCCCGGCCGAGATCGAAGAGCACGAGGCGACAGGCCATGTGCAGTATCGGAATTGGTGCCGGCATTGCATTGCCGGACGGGCTGTAGGACAGCCGCATCGGACAAGGTTCGAGGAACAGAAGGCCAAGAGCCTTGTGCCCACAGTGGCGATGGACTACACGTTCATGTCACGGGGCGGTGTAGAGGACAAGCGAGTGAAGCCGATCCTCGTGGTGAAAGATGAGAGGACACAGTCCATAGCGGCGACCTTCGTGGATTCGAAGGGAGCGACGCCGTATGCAACAAAGTTCGTCGCGAACTTCTTGAAGAACTTGGAACACCGCAAGGTGGTTCTCAAATCGGATGGTGAGCCATCCGTGGTAGCCTTGAAAGAGGCAGCAGCAAAGGAAACCAACATAGATTGGATTTCAGAAGAATCGCCAGTAGGAGACCATCAAGCGAATGGCCTGGCGGAAAACGCCTGCAAGGAGGTCAAACGTCAAGTACGGGTTCTCCGCAGTGCGTTGGAAGAGAAGCTCGGCAGAGAGCTCAAAGATGACGATCCCGCACTGGCATGGCTTCCAAGGCAAGCGGGAGACCTGTTGAGCAGGTACAAGAAAGGCCCAGATGGCAGAACGCCAGAGGCCAGAAGATGTGGGAAGCAGCGGCGGAAACCTGCCATAGCTTTTGGTGAACGCCTATACTTTAGAGAAGTAGGCGAGGGAGTGCGAGTCCTGAAAGAAGGACGCTATGTAGGACACCACGGCCGAACAGGATCTATTTTGGCGATGACGGCCGATGGCGTGCGCAGAGGCACAGGCGGCTGAGTTCAGCCGACCGCTGGGACCCAAGTGGTTGGGACCTTTCGCGGTACCGTGGGAGCAATCCGCGGCAAGGCCTGCCGGTGAGCAGTTGATGCTCGAAGAACGTCTTGTGGTACCACCTCTTAAGGAGGAACGAGTGGCGCCACCGCAACAGAGACGAGTGTACATCAGGAGAGAGGATGTGCACAAGCACGGAGCCACAGAAGGCTGTCCAGGATGCAGGTGCATCTTGGAAGATAAGAGGGCGACCTTGCCGCAAACAGAGGCGTGCAGAGCAAGGATCACTGAAGCAATGGAAAAGGATGAAGCTGGGCAAGCGAGACTTGAAGCCCATGCAAAGAAGAGGAAAGAACGGCGACAGCTTGACACCGTGAAGCCGAAAGTCGTGGCCGACAAGGACACAGACATCACGGCCGAAGATGCGGCCGGAGAACCAGAGAAGAAAGAAGGAGCAAAGAGCTCAGGATCGGGAAGCCCGCCGCCAGCAGCGGCAGAGAGTGAGAAGACATATCCCGATGATTGGAAAAGAAACCAGTGGCAAAAGCCAAGGTAGCAACAGAGCCCAAGAAGAGAACAGGAGAACAGAGGATAGATCCACCAGGTGCAAAAGTCAAACCGAGGGGACAAAGAGGACGGCAGAGACTGCCGTAGAAGAACTCGACCCTAGGGTGGAAGAGAGTCCAAAGAAGACGTCTCCGTTTTCGCATGTTCCAGAGACACCACCTGCAGGGTGGAAGCTTTGGTGAGAGAGAAAGAGGTCGCACAGCAGCATCTGAAGAAGATCATTCAAGGAACCTATGAAGCAAATGGCATTGAGATCACTGAACAAGAGATCATGGACATTGCACATCTGAGTATGCAGATGTCAGCAGTAGATGTCATGGAGATCTACTCGCCTAAGCGGTTCACCGCGCTTGCAGATCGGTACAAGTTGCGACCGGGCTTTGCGGTCGACTTAAATGAGACGAAAGAAGATGGAACATACTGGGACTTGAACAAGCCCGAAGACATCCAAGAGGTGCATGACATTGCGGAGAGATGAGCCAGCTCTTTTGACAGGTTCACCCCCATGTCACATGTTTTCCCAACTCCAGAACTTGAACTGGAAGAACATGGCACCGGATGTGAGAAGGAAGAAAATGGATGAGGCCATCCATCACTTGCGCAGAAGCGTGGAGTTGTATGTCAAACAACATCGCGCTGGACGCAAGTTCCTTCATGAAGCACCATGGGCCGCGACCAGCTGGAAAGACGAAAAGGTTGAGGCCCTAGCAAGAGAGGATGGAGTGTTTGTAGTGAAAGGTCCAATGTGTAGGTGGCAGATGAGGGCCACTGATCGAAGAGGACTCCAGGGCACCGGTTATGTGAGAAAAGAGACCGGTTGGATGACCAACGATGAAGGGTTGGCACGAGTCCTGGAAGGAGTCTGCTCGAATGAGTCGGGCAAAGGACCATGGCACCGACACATCCATCTGATTGGAGGCATTGCTAGACAAGCAGCGGTATACCCGCCGCAGCTGGTGAAGGCAGTGTTGAGGAGCCTGCGCAACACGCTGGCAGAGAAAGGTGAACTGAACACCTTTGATCTGTTTGCAGCAGGTCCAGTTCCAGAGATGCCTCTGATAGACCCAGAGTTTGAAGAGGTCTACATGGATGATGTGAATGGCGGCATTTTGCCAGCCGAGAAAGTGAAGGAGGCAAGACGCCTCGAGATGGACTACTTGAAAGAGAAGCATGGCGTCTATGTGACAAGGCCAAGAGCAGAATGTTTTGAGGAAACGGGGAAGCCCCCGATTCCAGTGAGATGGTTGGACACCAACAAGGGAGATCCAACAAACCCAAACTATAGGAGCCGCTTAGTTGTGCGTGAGATAAAGGCGAGAAAGACCAAAGAAGAACAGTTGCCAGCCAACTTGCTTTTCAGCAGCACGCCCCCTTTGGAGGCGATGAGACTGTTGTGTTCGTTGCGGGCAACAAAGAGAAAGTCATACCGCAACCAGCCACTGAAGCTGGGCTTGTGGGACATCTCACGAGCGCACTTCTACGGAACTCCGAAGAGAAAGATCTACATAGAGCTGCCGCCTGAGGACGAAGCCAGCAAAGACAGACAGACCTGTGGACTTCTCGTAAATTCAATGTACGGGGCGCAGGATGCTCCGAATATCTGGCAGACGCACTACACAGAGACTCTGCAGAAAGTTGGCTTCCGCAGAGGTTTGTCAAATGCGTCAGTCTTCTACCAAGAAGCTTGGGACGTCCGAGTCATGGTGCATGGGCATGGAGATGACTTCCTAGCACTTGGGGACGCGAAGCACTTGGAGAAGCTCAGTCAAGTTGTCAAGGACGCCTATGAGCTGAAATGTCTCGGAATTGTTGGAGATGAGGATGGAGACCGAACAGAAGCACATTTTCTGAATCGGCTGATCCGAATCGATAAGAAGAACGGCAAGGGATCAATTGTGATCGAGGCCGACCGAAGGCATGCTGATCTTTTGATCCAGGCATTTGGCTTGGGAAAGGCAAATGGTGTAGAATCACCAGATGTGAAGAAATCAGCGGACCAACAGATGTTGGAGAGCCGAAGTCCACTGCTAGATAAGAGCGAGGCATCGCGGTATCGTTCCGCCACGATGCGAGCTGCGTACTTGTCCCAAGATAGACTTGATATTGGGCATGCAGTGAAGAACCTCGCTCGAGGTATGGTGTCACCGACTGAAGCAAAGCTTGCTGACCTGAAGCGTCTAATCAGGTATCTCAAGAAGTACCCTGATGTTGGACAATGCTTTGGTTCGCAACAAATGAGTTGCGTTTTTTTCCTGGAACACAGCGCTACATGTTAGGAGGGAACTCTTGTTATGCTCGCGAAAGCATTTCCTCACGTTTTTCATCATCCGCGAAGGCTCGCGTAGCCATTTGGCGAAGAAGCTACAGTGTTTTGTTGCGAAAGCAATTTGCGAAGGCACTTGTTTTCATTTGTTCAAACATATCCTTCAGGACATGGAATCAGTCCTTGCACACAAGCTTCCAAACACACGACCAAAGTAAGAAAATCTAGAGAACCTAGAGAACCAGATTGCGACCATGCCAATGGCTGCAACAAATGGCTGTTGCAGCCACGGGTGAGTGGCAGATTGAGAAGAAGCACTACCTCACTGGTGCGCGAGAAGGTCAAGTCTACTGAAGCTAGACCTGTTTATGCCATCAAGTTTTCACTTTTTTGGCTGAGCCCATGGGAAACTTTAGAAATTCACCCACTTGTAGTCAGCACCTGCTGCAGTAAGGGAAGTTCATTGGGCCCAATGGTAAGTCCTACCATTCACGCAGAGAAGCTATCAAGTGTGGCGTGCCTGAATCCTTGACTTGGGAGAACCAAGCTTCAGAGGGATCAGCCCCTTGGTGTGAAGAGCAGCTCTTTTTCTCTTTTTCCTTTTTGGTTTCAAGCCTGCTGCCCACCACCCAGCCTTCCACCGGTGGAACAGCAAAGGCGCCAGATGACAAGACTCAGACAGCCCTGGAGGCTGTGCATACTTTGGCTGTGGTTGCTGCGGTTGGGGATGCAAAGCCGGTGGCTGCTTCAGAGGTTGCGGACACAAAGCCTTTAGACGTTCCTGCAGAGTTTGTGGACAAAGCGGCAAATGCTTCCTCACAAGCTGCTCCAGAGCTTGTGGACACAAAGGCCAAGGCTTCTTCAAAAACCAAAGAGATATTGAGCCACTTGACTGACAGTGAAGCCTATTTTCATTTCGATTTCAAAGAGAACGTCAGATACCCCATGTCTCAAGAAGAGACAGGGGATGAGTGGCGCGCGCAAACAAGCTCAGCCTGACGGTTTTCGGGTGCAACGTGCACACTCCAGGGCGGCGTGATATCAATTTTTTGTTGGTGAGTGACGTGTTGGACCACGACTCACAGATGGCCCGGCTGCTGGTGAGCAAGGTGCTTTCCATTGTCAAAGACAAGGATGCCTACCAGTGGAGCAAGGTGAAAATGTTACACCTCGTCTGCGACTGCGGCCCTCATTTCCGAAGTCGAGAGGGTTTTGCCTTCTTCCTCCACGACCTTGTCAAGGATTGGAAAGTTAACGTGCCCCAGCTTCTTTCAGGAAACCTCTGTGTCCTTGCTATTGCGCAACAGCGTGTTCAAATTTCAAATTTTCTCCTGGACTCTACTAGGAAGTCGTTTACTTGCAGGTCTGCAGGTTGTCTGCCTAGCCCTTTTTCCTTTCCAAACACTGCTGTTGACAGGTCACCTTGCACTTTCTGGGAGAGCAGCATGGCAAAGGACCCGTCGACCGCCTGTTCGGTTGGACTTGCGCTTGGATCGAGGCATTTCTACAAGACCGTCCCATTTATGGCCTGCAAGACTTGCTGGCATGCTACAGGGCCGGGGCACAAGAGATGGTCAACACTGACCCTCCACGACCCAAGTTTCACATTGCGAAGTTTGATCCGGGCGTAACCCGCCCAGAGACGCGAACCTATTTCCAATGTCCCAACCTCCTCATTACCAGAACTTATTGCCTGAAGGCCGTGGCCACTCCAAGGAGCATTCGACTGACCAATAATGTCTTCAGCGATGCCCAAGGCGAGGAAATTGGCAACTGGGAAATTGAGCCTAGGACCATGAACGAAGATGATGTGGAGTCCAAGACCTGGCGCAGAACCTTCTGGTCTGGAGAAAAGAGCTGGGAAAGCACTGGACCCAAACCTGGAGAAGTCAACGAGCTTGTCCGACGGTTCTCTTCGCAAAAACACCTTGAGCCACCAACTCCTCCTGAAGCGAATGATTCTGTAGACCTTTTGCTGTCCAAAGCTGCTGCGAGACTGCAAAATGCAGCTCTCAAGAAGAAACGGCAAGCGAAAGCCTTGCATGTTTCTGAGTCCAGCTCTGCATCCTCAACTTCTTCTTCTTCTTCCTCATCTGGCTCTGAGTCCGAAGGTTCTGATTGAAAAAGGTTGCACGCTGGTCTGGTCTGCGCCCAAGAACTCTATTTAGTCTTGTGTCAATGTAGCTAACTGTAGTCTGGTCTGCGCCCAAGAATTCTATTTAGTTTTGTGTCAATGTAGCTAACTGTAGCAAACACGAAACCTCGCGAAGCCTTTCGCGAAAGCACTTCCAATATACAACATAGTACAGCACCCTCGCGTAGGCAAATTCGCTTGGGGAGAGAGATTCGCGAAAGCTTCGCGGAGGTATGGGTACCTAGTGGCTGTCCCCAGACCACGCAAAAAAACACGGCTCAAATGCCCTCAAAGTTGAGGATTCAGGTTGACGCCGACCATGGTGGCGATGCTGTGACTCGAATGAGTACGACTGGCATGGTTGCCATTTTTGGCACTCACGTGCTCAAGCGCAGCAGCAACATCCAGTCCACCATCGCCCTGTCGACTGGCGAGAGCGAGTACTATGCACTCGTCAAGGGCGGATCTGTAGGCCTGGGACTCCAGAGCCTTTGTGCAGATCTAGGTTTGGACTTGGAGGTCGCCATAGAAAGAGACTCCAATGCAGCCAAGGGCACAGTCAATCGAGTTGGATTGGGCAAGGCCAGGCACATCCAAACTCGGTACCTGTGGTTGCAAGAGAGAGTCGCTGAACGCCACTTGAAAGTGCACCACGTTCCAGGAGTCAAGAACAAGGCTGACGTTCTCACAAAGTCAGTCCCTGGTGCAGCTTCAAAAGACGATGGAAGATTTGCAATACATCTTCCTCGGCGAAAGAAGCAAGGGACGGCTAGATGTTTTGGAGTAAGGTCCCTGGCCAAGCTCCACTACCATAGCTGAGAGTGGCATAGCAGTGTGAGTGTTTCACTTTGTTTTCTTTGGCTTGCGCAGCAGTACAGTGCTTTGCAAGAGGAGGAGTGTTTGCATGTACAGCCCATAAATACTCCGCTAGTAAAGTGCAGACACGTGACTCACGACGTGTTTTGGCTCAAGAAGAAAAGGCGTTCCGCAACGTCGACTTCGCATTTTCAATGACGAGACTCCCCAAGGACTAAATCTCTTCACGAGGCCAATATTAAATCTCTTCACGAGGAGAGGCCCCCACAGACTAAATCTCATGAGGAGGGATCCCAAGACAAAGTCTCTTCAACAGGAAATCTGTTAATGTGGAGAAAGACTAAATCTCATGAGGACAGGGCCCAAAGACGAAATCTCTTCATGGCAAGGCATCCCTCAATTTCTTCACGAGTAGAGGGCCAGGGATCCAAATAGGTATGAGGTACTTTCCATTGAGAATGAAGAGCGGTGGGACATGCGAATGGAAGCTATGGGTCATGTGTAAGCGATGTGTGGTACCACGTGATGGGATCTTTGATGCGATGTGAACGGTGCAGCGGGGAACTATGTCAAAGGGATGGCAAGTAGGAGGAGCATTGAGTTGAGCGTGGGGTGGCTTGTGAAGAGATGCATCTCATGGGAATGAAAGCTATGAGTCATGTGTTTTAATTACCACATGATGAGATCTTTGGGAGAGGGGCTGCGAAGGCAAATCCTTCAAACATCACAAAACACAGGGAAACACATGCCCTGAAGAAAGGGAAGAAAGGCGGGTAGTATTGTCAAAAATTGTCACCAAGAAAGGTGGACCAAACTAATTGGGGAGGGATATGTCCAAAGTTTGAACAACGGGCTATACAGGCGTTTTTTGTTGCAGGAACCGCGTTGGACCAAACTAATTGGCAGGGTTTGTTAATCCTGTGTCTACATTAAATTAGTCAAGTAGTATAGGGTGGGGGTGAATGCGCTGACGCAAGGGTCGGTGCATTGCTGTCATGGCTGCCAACAAACGAGTTGGCGCGAGGCTAGAGTTGTTTGTGTTTTAAGCGATCATAATATGAAACAACATTATTGAACAGCCTTTGTGACCAGTTGTTCATTGTCGTGTGCACATGCAACGTGCTTATGTCCATGCGATCTTTGAACAAAAGGATTCAGATTCACCATCCCTGTACTTTTCCTCAGGCTCACCATGGCTCACCAAACGCATTAAGGATGAAAGTGACTTGGAGCAGCTGTTTTACATGATTGACTCCGACAAGTCCGGGACGGTGACCATAGAGGAGTTTATCGGACCTTTGAGCCGGTGGGCACATGATTCCAAAACTGCGCCGCGTTTCATCAAGCATCTTGCGCAAGCGTTTGGAGATGAGTCGAGTTTTGCGTTGCGCTCACGTGCGCCAAGACATGGGCAATATTTTACATGTTGGTATGTCCGGCATTCGGCATTGCTGGCACTCGGGCATTAAAGTCCCTGCGTAGTCGCACGAACGCTCGTTGACACTCCTAAAGTTCTAAAGTCGCCCAAATATTTTTGTAGGTTTGGCGGATGGATCACGGCTTGGCTCGAAGTGGCATCAGTCGGTAACCAGTGCCTGATCTCCCCTCCGGCTCTTCGGGAGAACGTTTGAGATCCTGCAACGGACTCAAGTTCCGTCGGTTCTTGATCCAACGCCCTGGCGTCCACCGGCACTGTTGTGGACCATTCGTGAGATATCCAAGAGGCTACATTGTAATAGGACTCTGGTACATGCCACAATGAGGAAGTAGTGCCCAAATCTTCCATCGCTGGTTTTTTGTGGTTGCAGTTGTCGCCGCTGAATCTCTCAATGACGTTCCCGCTTCCATGGCTGCACAGTTGTGTGAGACGGCACGCGTCGAGAGCACACGTCCAGCGTGTCTGGAAAATCAGGTGGAACAGAAGTGACCTTGGCTCCGCTATCAATGTTGGTAGCCCCGCTCCTCGCCCCGGCCTTTTCGAGATTCTGGCAATAAAGTCCCAGCGCAGGCGCACGAACGCCCATCACACAGCACACTCTGCATACATTTACATAATACGCCACTGATTTACTCATTGACCCCAATGATCTCCAATGGTCCCCCTTGAGAGTGCAAATGAAACTGAGCACAAAAAGAGCAAAAGAGCACAAAAGAAAGTGAGCAGGTTTCAGCGGGCCCTGGGGCTCAAGGACAACTTGATTGGTCGAAAAGCTTGACCTGAGTCTTGGCACTTGGTTTGGGAGTAGCGCTTCCAAACTGAAACCGAGATGTGGGCAAAGCATCGCTCCATGTTGCTTGCTTTTCTCCCAGGTACAACTTGCTGCACTGTATGAACATGCAGGAGGATCTTTATGATTTGTTCGGTGAGTGCTTTGACCAGTTGGCTGGAAGGACGTGGGGTGGGTTCTGGGTTTGAGAAACTGTGAAATGACCAGCAGTCGAAGTTTGGCAGTACATCGCAGCTACGATTGCACACCATTGAATAGCGAGGGCCTGTCATATACCAACGTCTATATACCCTAAGCTTCCGAGAAGACAAAAAACCTGGCTGGCAGACAAAATTTTTGATTCTGAGCTCCCAGAAGTCAATTTGGGAAGTCAAGATTTATGTCTGCCAGACAGTTTTTTTGACTGGCAGGCAGGTTTTTTGACTTCTTGCAATGGTGCAAACTTGTCTGCCAGACAGTTTTTTTTATCTTCTGGCTCCAAAAGTGTCTTCTGAGAGATGTCACATGTAGAAGTCAAAAATTTTGTCTTCTAGCAAGCTTTTCAGAAGACAAAAAAACAACTTCTGCAGAAGTCAATTTTTTTACTTCTAGAACTAGGCAAGGTTTTGCACTAGAAGACAAAAAAGCACTTCTTATCACTGCTAGCAATTGGTTTTCATATTGCCATGGCCTCCAATATCATCTTACCTGAAGCAAATGACCAGGTGAAAGCCTTATCCGCTTTGATCAAAGG